GCTCGCGCGGCTGCTATGTCCATCAACTGTCTTTAAATGATACACCACGATAGATACCTCAATAACTTTGTTACATTATTATGTTTGTACTTGACTTTTTTTACTTCTTTTTGTGATTTTTATACTTTGGATAAAAAATGTTGTCGTCTCATGATTCAACAATGCGATCAGCAAACCAATCTAAAAACTGTTCGAAGTAGTAAAACACTTTTTATAAAGTTATTGAGACAAAAGTTTCCACTATATCACTTGTAAAAATACTTGTACCTTTATTGCGCAGGAAGTACGTTTTTGCTAAAGACCGTTTACTAATTTTTTTTTGTTGCTAATAAGCATTTTTTAATTTTTTTTTGACAATACCTTTTTTTCTGAATTACTAACGCGCATCTCGGCACAAATATTATTAGTAATAATATACATTAACTACAAATATATAAACGATAGTATACACAGTGATAGGATAGTGTATGGGATAGTGTACTACTGTCCGAAGCCGCGAAAAACTGAAAATTCTCAGGGCACGTGTAGTTATTAGCCGAGGCGAAGCCGAGGCCAATAAACACGTTACTGGCTTTCTGTTTTCGCAGCTTAGGCCTGTATACTATATTTCATACCCCGTGGCCAAAAAATAGATCTTTCTGTGTTGCGCAGCGGTCGGGAAGTAATCACTTTCAGGCCAATGGTATGAAAAAAATTTTTTAAAAATTACAACAAAATTCGAAGGGATCACTCATAGAGCAGTGCACATGACTTGAGCAGTAGGCGCTTCCGGGTGCTCCTCTGCAGCTCGTTTAAACTCCGTTACGACCTTTTGCGCCTCAATTTATTCCGAGTTCGGTGAATAATTGTGATCTTTGATTTTTACCACTTCTATACTTCATGGAGACTCTGCGCTTCCGCCGATGACTGCAAGATTCTACAGCCACATTCAGGATACACTTTACATTTCCAATAACTTCTTTTTACCCCCATTTTTATTGAATAAATAACCGTCAACGTGCAAACTGATACGTATTCGCGGCTCGCTAACGATTGAATCATTATTCATACCACAACCCTCAATGTCGGAATATTCTCTAAGTGTCAGAAAACTAACAGTTTTACCCTATGTGGCTGTTTGTACATTTCAGCTCGAAACAACATTTGCGTCCCCTAAATATATAGTGTACATAATACTCGATATATTATAAAGTACATGAAACAGAATTAACAGAGCACATTGTTTGGTGACATTATTACATTAAAACATGCTTAGATCGTTCTGTATTGGTACAAGGTGCAATTTTTAAATTATATTTCCTGGATAAGATTAATTATAAGTACGGACAAAAATAGTTATTTATGTAACAAGTGCCCAAAAGGCGTTTTTGGGCACGAGTGTGCGGAAAAAGACACGAGTGCCGGCCATGCCGGCACGAGTGGATGTTTTTTGCGCACACTGTGCGCAAAAAGCTGGGCACGTGTTGCATACAAAATTTTATGCAATAGGAGACGAAAAATACTTTCATTTAAATGAGGCGTTTTACCGCACACAAATGTCCAAAAACGCTTTTTGGGCACTAAAAAGTGTGCGAAAAAAGACATTTTTCGTCATACTATTGCATAAACAAAATTTTACTACTTACATTGGTGCGCAAGGTAAAAGTACGAATAACCAGCTATTTTGCATTGAAAAAAATTTAAACGTGTTTAATTATTCACGTTTATGATTAAATTTTTTTAGACAACCGTTTCATTATCATATGGACTGTGACATGAATTATCGCAAATAATATTTATAAATGTCGAAAATCCCAAAATTAATAATATAATCGTAAAATTACGTCAATGCCGATTGTACCAATTAGGGACCATAAGAAAATGAACTGATACCGATTGCTCATTATGTTTGTACCTATATTAGGCCAAATGAATAGCTGTTTCAGCTTATCTTTTTATAATTAATTACGGCAGAAAATTATTCATTATCAATATTGAATCGTATAGATGAAATATATTATCCTACCCTGTAAGAATGGTGAGATTTTAGCGTGAGCAGTTTATAAGCGCTATGATTTGTCATTCATTAGCTTGCAATTGTTTGGTGGTATGCAAATACGAGTGTGTAATGACCCAGTCACAAAGGTCATAGCATCCTTGCGGCCACAGACAGGTGAAACACCGGGGCGGCAAATTAGCCCGGTGCAGCACCAAGTCCCAAGCGGTGCATGCTGGTGTGCGACTGCACATGTACACCTCGGCACGCACTTGTGTGTGTGCGCACACGGATAAAGCAGCGAACGTTAGTGTGCCACCGCACACGTACATTGCAGCTCGCACTTGCGGCCTCGCATCTAAATCGTGATGCTTCTGTCATAAAGCATGCGATTTAATGATCGGCCCGGGCAATAAGTAAATCCCGGATGCCAGCGAAGGTCGTGCCCCGACTTACGCCGATGCTCGGGCAAGCGGGCCAAGCAATTAGAAAAACTACCCGAGCATCCTCTAGAATATTTGTTTATAATCCCCGCAAAAACGACCGGATGCGAAAATGCGTAGACCCCAAGCTCGGGAGGACACATAAGTCAACGACGATCTCCGCCCGAACAAAGGGGGTGCCGCAGAAACAACCAATATCCGGGACGTGAGGGAGTCTCGAGGCTCATTTTCATTCTCGTTCATTCGAGGTTCATTCACGGTCCAGTCGCGGTTCAGTCTTAGTCCAGTTTGTGGCTCGGCTCCGATCAAATCAAATAAGTCACGACAGTAGAGCGAACCTCTGGCCAGCTCGTTCACGAACTTCAACCCGCTTGACAGTGCGAGTCAGTTACCCGAAAAGTGCGCGAGCTCGTTCAGCTACAACCGCCGACGCCGTGCCGCCCTCGTCGACGCCGCACAAGCCGAGATCACACCGCCACGGGCCCGCCCTCCAACTCACGATATCTGCCGCTCAGCGAACGACGCCGCCAAAGACTATCGCCGAAGTAATCGATGGGCTAAAAACCCGTCATTACAAGTGTTGTAATAAGTTGAGTAAGTGGAACATTGACCTATTGACGGCTTTAAACTAATTTAGTCTATTTTATTTTTCCATTTTAAATATTGGAAAATGGCAAAATGGCTGGATAAGAAAGAAGAGAGCGCACCCAGTGTGCTGAAAGTTGAGCTAGTTTTTCAGGCAACGAAGTTGAGCAAACTTTAAACTTTTTTGCAAGTGTGCAAGATTTTCTTCGCGTAACAATGAAAAAATGTTTGATTTGTGTTTGTGAGTATCGTTCCTTAGATATTAAACTACATCAAAAAAGGTTTTATAGGACTTATGACACATTCAATCAGCTGAAGATGAAATTTGATAAAATCTTTGTTATGACTGGTGCCCAGTCTCTAGCAACTTTTGCAAAATATAATGAAATTTTTTAATCCAGGCTCTATTCATGAGGTATAATTCTAGACGACAAACCACTTAAAGTTGATATTTTCATTTTTCAGAATTTTGGGATTTTTTTTGAAAAATTGTAAAAAAACGATATTTTCGGAATTCGTTCACCCCCGTAAAAAAATTATGAATGATTTTTTAAACTTTTTACTGTTATCTTCTAGAGAAAGTTAGTTACAACCATTAAAAAGTGAAATACGAGGATCAGACTTATGATTTCCTGCATAATCGAACATATATTTTTTTAATGTTAAGGAACGTTTTTATAAAAAAAATCGTTTCTTTTCCATTTTCAATGTGAATGTCCCCTTAAGATGTATCTATATTATTTGTATATTAATAGTTTTTGTTTGACAAATGAAGAAATCTTTCGTTTGATTATTTTTTTACAATCGCATAAAAGCTGAATTAATATTTCCTTTATAGCTCAAGTTTATATTTATTTGCAAATACATGAAATAAAATTATTGATGTATTAGTGATGTATCATGTAAATTTTATTGTTCATTTTTTTTGTTCTTAACAACAAAGGGATCAGAAAAGGCCATTGAATTCAGAGGAAAAATTAATAAAATTAAAACTTCTTAAATTTTATTTATGAACACCCTCAAGCTTTTACAGAACTGTTCATGAAGAATTTAATAAATTAGATTTTCTGAATAATAAATTAGTTTTTCGAATAATATAAAATTATCTCCAAAAATTAGAAAAAATTAGAGGATGTTCTATGATCTACTTTCACTATCAACTCACTAGTTTAAAAAAAAAAATTAATTTGCTTCATGAAAAATGTTGTAAATTACATAATCTCGAATCAAAAACCTTTAGTTTGATATGAGCTACATATAGTAAATTGTGTCGCTAAATATTTTTAATTTTCATTTCAAAAGTTCGCGCTTTATTGCGGTATACTATAATTACATTGCAATTTGGTCTTACTCAAGTAATTGTTTTTAATTTTTATTATAAAACATCACATATGGTCAAGCAGTAAAACTTGAATATACTTACTTGAATTTTTGAAATTCATTGAAACTTTATTTTTTCATAAAAATTGCACTGGTTTATAGATTTTGAACTGAATCATACATGACTAACATCTTTTCACTGCATAAAATTGAGATAAAGTATAGATTATTCTCCATTCTCCATTGAGGCTGTATGTTTTGAATTGTTTGTCTGAGATGATCAGATATATAATTTGAAAAGAAAGATATTTTAAGAAAACAAATTTGTAGTCATCGATCATATTGAATAAATAATTTCATGAATATAATTGTTCAAGTATCCGGACAGCTATGAACGTGCTTCGGTCACTTCTTTATAAAATTATAATAAACAATTACAATTTTCATTTTTACAATTGAAAATTTGAATATTACCTTCCAAGATGTCTAAATTCACAGAGATTTTGATAAAAAAAATTGTAAACGTTAACATCGTACAAACGTTAACAAAAATTGTAACAGTTAATTTTTATACTGTTCGGTTAATGGTGTTAAGAAAAATCGTTTTGCAGCAGTATAGTAATATGACGCGAATAAAAGTGACCGGGTATTGGTTCAGTCACCCTTAGACACTGTACATCTACATCTCTCACTGTATCTTAAAATAATATATTTCAGATAATGTAGAATCTTTAGTTGAACCATCTTAAAATTAAATAAAATCATCTAGATTTGTTATTATGTTTATGATGCTCAGATGACAAGTCAGGAATTTTGAAGTTTTTAATTGTCAAAGAAGTTGAAAACCATCATGACGTCTGCCCATTTATCCAGTGGAAGGTTAAACATTGGATTGATTCAGGAGCAAGCAAGAAAGCAGTTGTTACTTTTATTAGAAAAATGTGATGGACCCAAAGTATGTTACTTTATCTTGTGTCTTACAAAAAAGCTGAAATATAAATGTTTATAATTTTAATTCAAGGCTATTGTGTGGGATGAATCTCTTGGAGGACCAATGGGGCTCGTTGCAAAATATGATACACTTCAAGAACATGAAGTTATTAAGATGTATCCTTTGGTAGGAGGACGTCTGCCATCTTCTGATGTTACAAATGTCATTTTTATTACTAGGCCACATTTAGATCTTATGGATTTAATAGCTCAAAATATACATGGGTAAATTATATCATAAATTAAAAATATTTATGATTAATTTAGGTATTAATCAAATATTTTTTACAGCGAAGAAAGAAACAGACAGCATAAAGAATTTCATATATTTTTTGTACCTCGCAAGAGTTTACTGTGTGAAAAAAAATTGCAAAATCGAGGGGTTTTTGGAAACTTTACATTGATTGAAGAATTTTCATGTGATCTTTTTCCTTTTGATAGCGATCTTGTATCAATGGAACTAAGTGATGCTTACAGAGAATTTTATCTAGACAATGACCCTACTTGTTTATATCAAGTAGCACAAGCTTTAAATAATATGCAAGAATTATATGGCAAATTTCCTAAAGTAACAGGGAGAGGACCAGCTGCAAACAAAGTATGGAACTTAATGCAGCGATTAGATAGAGAATTAGATAATAAGAGAAAAACAAATGCTTCAATGCCTGTAATTGAACATCTTTTATTACTTGATCGTTCATTGGATTTATTATCACCACTCGTAACACAACTTACATATGAAGGTTTAATTGATGAAATATTTGGAATCAATAACAGTGAGTTTTAACTATTTTAATAACCAATATTACATTTCATGATTTTTTAAAAGTTGATATAAATATTTTTGATAAAATTAGCCACAGTAAAATTGCCAGCTGAAAAATTTTTAAATTCAGATGAATCTCCAACAGTAATGTCACTTGAAAAGAAACATCAACAAATTATACTTAATTCTGGAGAAGAGTTATTTTCTGAAATTAGGTGAGTTAAGAATAAACATTGTTGTTTAGTTAGTTTAAAACACGGGTTAATCTAAGAAATTAAAGTATTTAAATGCAGAATTGTAAGTAAATAATTTATTGTGCTTTTCTAGAGATAAAAATTTTAATGGAGTTGGACCTGTTCTCAGTAAGAAAGCAAAAACCATTTCATCGCAATTTGATGAAAGGCATGGCGATAAAAGTGTTCAAGAGATAAAACAATTTGTGGCAAGATTGCCTCACATGTTAGCTACTAAGCAATCTTTGGCAAAACGTAAGTTATTTTAAATGTTTCTTATTTGATGTTTTCATGACTAAAAAATGTTTTCATCTTCAAACACACAGATACCACTATAGCTGAAATGATAAAAGAAGTTACAGATTCTAGTAATTTCCTGGAAACATTGCAAATTGAGCAAGAACTTTTAAATGGTATTGATACAGACAAACCAAACTCATATATAGAAGATTTAATAGCTCAGCAAGAACCATTAATAAAAGTTCTTAGACTTTTATGTTTACAATCTATTACTAATTCTGGATTAAAGCAAAAACTTTTAGATTATTATAAACGAGAAATTATACAAACATATGGTTATCAACATTTACCTACTTTATTAAATTTAGAAAAAGCTGGACTTTTAAAAGTTCAGCAATCTGTTAGACAATATACTGTATTGAGAAAAGCTTTAAGATTGACTGTTGAAGATGAAAGTGAGATAATGCCAAAGGACATAAGTTATGTACACTCCATTTATGCTCCACTAAGCGTCAGGTTAGCGGAACAATTAGTCCAACCAGGAGGATGGCAAGGATTAAACGACATACTTGGGTTACTGCCTGGACCAGCTATTAGCAGTTACACTCAGAAAACAACATCAAACATAAGAAGTACATTTAAAAATTTTTAAAATATTTTTGTGTAGAAAAAATTAATTGGTGATTATTAATTTAATTTTAATCTCAGGAAATTCATTAACAAGTGAAGATTCTGGTGCAGATCCTCCAAAACTTATTCTTGTATTTTTTATTGGTGGATGTACATATGCTGAAATTTCAGCATTAAGATTCCTGTCTCAACAAGAAGAATGTAAACCTGCTTTATTTATAATTATTAATACAATTATTATATAATGCTTAAAATTTAATCTTTATTGTGTTATATTTTTGCAGTGAATGTTGAATTTATCATTGGTACAACTAAGCTAATAAATGGAAATACATTCATTTCATCTTTAATGGAAAATATGCAAAAAAACAAAAATTAAGTTGCGCTTATTTTATTTTTTAATTGTAAATCATAATGTCTTTATATTTTAATAAATTGTACTATATATTTGTTACATTGAATAAACATTTTTATTATGACGTTTTAAATGAATACTTTGTTTTGGTAATTTATGATGACAGTTCATTGACATTACCTTCAAGTTTAAATGTCACTTATCCCCACTACAATCGATTTGACGGGTCTCGCAAACTGACACGCAAGTGCTCGCACTTATCCAAGTGTAGAAAATCAAATTAAGAATGGAGCGTGAAAAGTAGGCGAATACTTTTTAATCTACGTTAAAATTTAATATGTATATTTTTTATACATAGAATGTTACATGAAAGTGCATTTCTTTGATTAACGTGATATTTACTAAATAAATAAAGCAGTAGGTTATGTTGTGTTGAAAAATATTCCAAGTTGTACCATTTAAAAATGAGTCCTGCACTCTTGGAAAACGAAGAAAGATGTTTTGGTGGAATGACTTTTTTTGCACAAAGTCACCCAGCTGAACTTTGTGGAAGTAATGGCCTTCCTCTCACACCTAACTCTATTACAATATTGGGAAAATCACAGTTTCTCAAAACAATTAATCATCCTAATTTGTGTTCATATTTGGATATAATAAGAAGCAAGCATGGTACTTGTTATTTATGTTTTAACTTATCTTTAAATCATCTTTAAACTCCAATGAGTAAAAAATTTTCAGAGCGGACAATTGTTGTGGCTGAGTATTGTGGTAAGCCACTTGCTTCATTGGAAAATTTGTCCATGGATAAAGTTATACGAATAGCATATCAGTGTTTAGTAGGACTCAAGTATATGAATAAATTTGGACTAGTACATAGTCACCTTAGTCCTGAAAATATTCTGGTTGATAAAAATGGAACTGTTAAATTATTTAACTTTGGATTATATTATATGACAGATCATGGAAAAAATGTATCTTTTCCTATTGGGTATGATAATTTTTAATTCTGTTATAAACATTACATTTTATTTTTAAAACAACTTTAAAAATCATTCAATCAAGGTATCCAAAATATACTGCACCAGAGATCTTTCTCAGTAGTGGAATGAGGAGTGTGAAAGTAGACTCTTGGTCATTAGGAATGATCATTGCAGAATGTTTATTAGGATGTACTCTTTGGCCTGGATACAAACTATCACAGAGTTTAAGAAAAGTTCTCAGTTTAGTTCACACAGAAAACAGTATATTCGAAAGAATTTCTCGTGAAAATAATTGTTTCAATATCTACGAGGTAAATCTTATTTGAAATTTTATTTCTACTAAAATGTAGAGAATGTAATTGTATAATTGCGAGTATGTTATGCTATTCAGGACCTACCCGAAGATGTTAGAGCTTTTGTGAACGATTGCTTGCAAATCTACCCGTCACAGCGAAAAACGCCGGAAACACTTCTAGAGCTTCCGATTTTTCAAGAATTTTTGAAGAAAGATGATCAAGACAGAGAAAACAGTTTATATGAAAATGTTATACAACGAAAAATGGATGAGCTCTATTATCTGTGGCAATTGGCTGGAGGAGATATGACGATAGAACTTAAGAGGCAAGGATTGATTCGCTCAAGGCCTCCAATTTTAACGATACCTAAGTAATAATAATTTTAAAGTCCAAACTATACATCGTTCAAAAGCACATTCATAATAATTTTTTTTCTTTCAATCAGTCTTGTCATTTTGCTGGGCCAAATGTTCGGTCGTCGCGATATAGCCGGCTTATTAGATTTGCGAGTCGTAAAAGTTTCACTTGAGCTGCTTTCTCAAAGGCTTTCCCATATACCTTATGTAGCAAACTACCCCAGACTTTCTAATCAGTAAGTACAATTTTTGATGTCTAAAATTCTTTGAAAATCTGACTATCATTACGTTTCAGTACGTACGCTCAAGAACCGAACGATTTAACCGACACTGCGTCTCAGCTGCCGTTGATTATCCGAGAGCGAGATACAGAATATCAGTTTTACAGAATCGTATTATTTAATAGATTGCTTCAAGTAAGTTATTATTTTCATACAGTGACTTATAATACGTAATGTAACGCATTAAAAAAAAAAAAAAAAAATAGATTTATCCAATTACCAAAGACGCAATAAAGCGAGAGGCGCACAAAGACATTCCACCTCCGGTGAGAGGTGCCATTTGGGCGGCTCTACTGGGCGTATCCGGAGATATACAAACCAAATACGACATGATTGATAAAGAAACGCCTACTCACACTGATCGGCAAATCGAAGTCGATATTCCAAGGTGTCATCAGTACAGCGAACTATTGTCCTCTGGCGCTGGACATGAGAGACTTCAAAGATTACTCAAAGCCTGGGTCAGAGACAATCCCCATTATGTATACTGGCAAGGACTTGATTCTCTTACGGCGCCCTTTTTATTCCTCAATTTTAACAACGAAGGTACAGCAGTGATTTTCAGTTAGCGATGAGAATATCCAACGAATTCTAAAAGTTTTATCATGTTTGCAGCTCGAGCTTTCGCCTGCTTATCAGCTTTTATTCCAAAGTATTTGCATAAATTCTTTTTAAAAGATAATTCTGCCATCATACAGGAGTATTTGAGTAAATTTTCTCAGATTATTACCTTCCATGATCCGCAATTAGCAAATCATCTGAAATCAATCACATTTGTTCCCGAGCTTTTTGCCATTCCTTGGTTCCTGACAATGTTCTCTCGTAAGTAATTTTATTTATAACACCAACTGCTAAACAAATTCAAAAAAAAATTTTTTTTTGTTTTACAGATGTATTTCCGATCCATAAAATTTTACATTTATGGGACAAGCTGCTGTTGGGCGATTCTTCGTTTCCTCTCTTTGTTGGCCTAGCGATTTTAAAACAACTGAGAGATTTCTTGCTTGCTTCTGGATTCAACGAATGCATTTTATTATTTTCCGATCTTCCTGAAATTGACATTGAACTATGTGTGAAAGATTCGATGTCAATGTACCAAAAAACACCATCCAGTATAACTTATCGCAAACACCAGTATGATCAGTCGAAAGTAGGTCGCCAATTGTTTATATGCATATTATATGTAACACTAAAAAAATGTCACTATTTTTAAGGCTGCGAATTGGAACGAACCAGAAGTTGGAACGGAAAAAATACCTAGAATAAGTGTTGAAGATCTGATTTACTTGTTGGAAAATAGTCCGGATAAAGTTTTGGTAGTTGATCTTCGAAATAATATACAGTTAGTATAGTCGATTTTCAATACATCAACAACCAATACATTGTTACTAAATTATTTTATGTGTCGATTCAGATATGAAAGAGGTGCCATTGCTGGAAGTATCAACATTCCTTTTACTAGCGTTCAACTGGCTCAAGATCGAATCACTTCGCTCGGTCCGCAAGCCACTCCGCTCTCTGAAAATAAAGATCGGATTGTTGTCGTAATCGGGCCAAACGACCAAAACAGTGCATTGGTTGGTAAAGTTCAGAAAAATATCTATTGTCTACTCATTTTCTATCATTTCTTTGATTTTTAGTTCGCAGAATTTCTTATTGGATGCCAAGTGTTTGGCGTCTGCTCATTGCAAGGTGGAATTTATGCGTTACGCTCAAAAGCTTCAAATCTATTATTGCCGACACGCAAAGAGAAAGGCTTTTTTTAATGAAAAATTGTATATGAATATTTTTTAAATGCTACTACAATCATAAGTGACATTTTTAGCCGCGTGGCCAAAACGAAATCGTTAGGAATTCACGAAAAATAGTATAATATGTATAGAGAATGTCTTAAATTACGTGTTAATTATTTATTTAAACCGTCGTAATTGACAATCATGTGATTAGAGGCATACTTTTTTATTTCTCTCTATAAGTGATATTATTCAATTATATTTTACTACATAATGTATATTAAATAATGTAAAATACGCCTTTGTTATTCTAAGTGGTTTGGATATTGAAGAATAAAGAAGTAATAAAAAAAATTAAAATGCTAGCACCGATTCATCAATTTCTTAACAAGTAGTTTTAGGTATAAAATTATAAATTCAGAGTTAAATATAAACAATTTATTTTTCGAAAATGTTTTTATCAAGGTTTAAAATCTCAATTGAAAATTCAATTTATATATTTTGAAAACATTTAGTTTTTCAACGATAAAAAAGTCGTTTTTGCTGACAATTTATTGTACAGTCAAAACTTGTCGTTGCTGCCTTTATTTAATTCTGGACCAACATCATATTTAGCCATATATGCGTAATAGGAACCCGAGACTTTTTTCCTGTAGCTAAAATGACTCTGCGGCGCAACTACTTTTTGCAGTGATCATCAAAAAGCGACGAGAGGTATCCGTCACACAACTCGCATACTTACTATCCACGCACTTCCTCCTGCATAAATTTTCCCAATAGCTAAGATCGAAGCTGCCTCGTGTTTAGATGGGCCATTTGATGCGCGTTAAAAGAAATCTGACAGATGCACATGAAGTTAAAATTAAAATACTTTCTCGTTCATCGTGTTTGCCTGCTCGAAAGATCTATTTTAACTGCTGCCTGGAGCATCAAATTCGCCAAGATGTGGTTCGACCAATGCAGTAAGTGTCCAACAGTTTTTAAATTCACACGTGCTCCACTTGTTTAGAGGGTTGCTATGGCAACAAAATTCAAAACAGAAATTGACGTCTGCACGAAACTCCCAGTGCTGTGCGTTATGAAAATAAGCTCAGTGACTCGTGCGAGCGATAAACAAGCGTACAATTGTTTAATGTAAAATGCTTCAAAGCGAGTGAATCGTTTATTTTGTCGCGATCGTTTACGATGGAGAGCCATTTGTCTCCTGGGTTCAAAAAATGGATGAAAAAGTGTCTGAGTGACGAGTTTTCCAATGCCATCGAGAACCACTTGAGTCGCGAGCTCGAGCCCTACGACGTGGCGCAAAAAGTCATCAACTCTCCGCAGATGACGGAGCTCGGCCATGCACTCAGGGCGTCGTTCATCGAACAAATCGAAGGGTCGAAAAAATTATCATCAAGCCAAGGAAACTCAGCGGGCGTTACCGCCGAATGTAATGAAACGACAATCGTTGCCGTCGCTGCTCCAGAATCCTCGTGGCCTCAAACATCTCTCTCGTTCGTGAGCGACTTATCCTGCGACGATTGGTCGCTGCTTAGGCAAGATTACGGCAGTGGCGGCGGCGGAGACAGCGTCGGCGAAATCAGACAGATCGTCGATCGCATGAGCTCCGAGCGTCCGGATCACGTGCGGCTGTCCGGCTACGAGGCTCTGCTAGAGAATCCGGAGCTGCTGCTGGCGGCGCAGTCGTCGAGTGGCGGCGGCGGTGGCTCGGGCGACTGCTGGCCGGCCCTGCTGAAGACGCTGCGCGACGGCATAGTCGAGGGCGGCAGATCGGTGTTCGAGGCGAGTCTGCGAGCTCACGCGAAGCTCATGACGAACTGGGCCCGATTCGGCGAGACCTACGCGAATCTGCTGAGCTGCTTCGAGCGGCTGAGTCGGGCCGCGAGGCCCTTCGAGGCGCTGCCGAGTCAGCTGAGCGGCCTCAACTTCAAGATCTTCCTGCACGAGAAGCTGCTGCGAGTGCTGAGGCTGGCGATAGACCAGCAGGAGGAGCTGATCAAGACGACGCGGCCGAGCGACAACCGAGCGAGCGAGGAGGCCATCGAGCGCTTCGTGGATCGGCTCGGCGACGGCGGCCAAACTCAAGCGGGCTCCTCAGCGAGCCGGAGCCAGCTCAGCCCTCTCCAGCTGTTGGCCGTGCTGGAGCCCCGGGCGGCCTGGTCGCGCCGCTGGATGCACAGCTCGCTGACGCGCAAGATGCTCTGCGGGGCGATCGGCAAATCGGCGAGCTTCCTGCCGGCCCTGCTCAGCCAGGCCAAGCGCGGCCTCGAGCAGCCGCCTCGGGGCGTCTCGGTGCTCCTGAACGACGAGTGCCTGCCCGCGGAGGCCTTCGTGTCCGGCGACTCGGTCGAGACGCTGGCCTTCCTGCACAGCCTCGGGCTGCTGGTCCAGCTGTGCCGCCACTCGATCGGCCGCGAGCTGCTGCGCGACAATCTCGACGAGGCGAGCTTCGCCGGCCCGGCGGACCTCGCGCTCTCGCTGCTGGCCTGCCTGAACAAGCTGGCGAGCTCGGCGGCGAGCGACTCCAACGGCATCTACGAGGCGCTGCGCTCCGACCTGAGCCAGTTGCTCGGCAGCTCGGCCGTGCCGCCGCTCTACGACGCGCGCCTCTACCCGGCGACGCTGAGGCCCCTCGTGGCTCCTCCCCGGGCCGACCCGACTCGCCGACTCTGGCCGCATAGCCTCGACGTGCTGCGACGCATGCTCGACGCGACCGACGGCCCGAGCTTCCTCGTGAGCGATCATCGCGATGCGTCGGCGAGAAACGACAGGAGCGACGATTGCCCGGCCCCCGTCGTCGCCATCCTCGCCTACGCTTCCAACGTGCTGCGCCAGCCGCTCGCGCTTCTCGCCATCGAGCACGTGCTGCATCTCTTCGGCTTCCTCGAGCAGCTCTTCCAGCTCAACGAGATTTTCTACGTCGTCGAGGAGATCCTGCGGGAGAGCTTCTATCCTGGCGCGACCTACGTCTTCGGCAAATTGGACAAGTACTACGTGGAGAACGAGAACAAGACTCAACTGCTCGAGAAGTATGCGCGCCGTTTCTCGTTCTTTTGTCACCTTTATACGCATTATGTATATATGTCATTGCTCCGTTGCGATTGTACGTTGCAGAGCTCTGCGATCGATGCTGCTGAGCATCGCCTCGATACCCCTGGGCCTGCAGATGCTCTCGAACGAGCCCCTGGTCTTCGAGGAACTGATTCGCGGCTCCATAGCGCCGCTGCGCGCCTCCTGGAGCGCCTACGATCGGGTGGCCTTCGTGGCCAACTCGGGCTTTCTGGCCCGCGGCGTCGACGTGCTGCTCGAGCTCTCGCCCCACGTCATGTCGACGCTGCTCCTCGAGCTCGCCAACCTCTTCCAAGATCCGCTCCTGTTTTACGATCCCTGGGAGCATCGCCATATTCGAGTCTTTCTACACGTGCTCGCCATTTTTTCCATCAACACCAACTGTTGAGTATACGCGATCGTCTTCCGAGCCATGTGCTTTCGCTCGTTGCGTTGCCCGAAGCGACTAAATTTTTTTTGCTTTTGTTTTTTCGATCAAGGCTTTGTCGCTTTTATGACAAGCGAGAATAACTGCAACAAAGAAGACGGTCAAGACGATCCCACCAACTTGTACGAGTTTTTTCAGCATTTTATGGACATTGACTCGGTCTATCACCAGCTGGGCCTCATGTCGCTTAAAACTATCATTTGGAATTTGGACCTATATTTGTACATGCTCAATTTATTGAATTTCCAAGTGAGTTACGAATGATTATCGAATTCGCGAAAAATTTAATTATTCAACTCGAAATATCGCTGCACGTGCCAGGAAAAACTGTTGAAGTATCAAGAGTACAGCCTGATGAGTCAGGAAGAGGGTGCCGATCCGGAGAAAGCAGCGGTCTACATCACCGACGAATCTTCCCTGCTGCGCCATCAAATTTTGCTCAACGGCTACACCGTGCGACTGAGGCGCAGCGAAATTCTGTCGACGCCCGAAGAGGCGAGACTGTTCTCGACACTGCCACCGCCTCAAGGCTGCTGCATCGACGACGAACCGATGATCGTCGCCGCGACCAAGCACGCCAATAGAGGCGACCGGATCGACGAGAACGAAGAGGAGGAGGAGGAGGACGATAACTCGGAACTCGGACTCTGGCTGCGAGACACCGGACCGGGTTTGCGCGACGAATTCTGGATAACTCAAACCCGACGAGCGCACAAGTCCTCGCCCAACGCCATGAAGGTGAGTCGATTTATTTTTCTCGCTCGACACTCGTATACCGGACAGGACGCCAGTTCGTTGCATCTTGGGCCATGTAACGCAGCACACAGTTTTTCTGGAGCTGCTGAATCAAATGGAGCAGGCGATACCCACCGTCGAGTGGGTGGATCGATTCAAGTGGGATCCGGAGTTGAGCTGCGACAACGACGAGTACTGGCTGCCGGAGGAGAAACTCGCTTTGCAGCTGGTGCTGCATTACGGCCACGCGCGAGGCTTCGTCGTCGAGAGCGACGACACTGAAAAGAATCTGAAAACATTCATAAGGTCGACCCATGACTACATCAATTACAACAAATCTTCGATCTTCGAGGGTTTCGATTGGTTCCTGGCCACGATTTTTCTCGTCTGTAATGCAGATCTAGAACGGTTGGTACTTTTCTTTTTTCAAATCATATAGTAAAGCCTCAGCTGGCCGCGAATCATTGCGACGGAGCAAAAGGACCCGAACGGGTCGACCTTTGCCGCTCGCGTGACTCAAGCTAACCAATTCATCATCATCGGCTTGTAACGACGTAATTCGTCGGTCTCAGGTTGAAAACTTGGTCTTCATTGTAGCGACCGCAAAGTCGCATTTTATTTTGGACTCTGAAGTTTTGTATCATCATTGACCGACTTTTAATTACGCAGTTTTTTTATTCATTTTTATTTAGCTCAAAAGCTTTCGTCAATCAAATATTACACTTCCCGTCGGCAATGTTTTTATGGCCGGCCTTGGCACAAGTCATCGACGACAATAACGAAGAAGAAGCTTCCACTAGACTACTGTTTGCTCACCTCTTGGAATACATCGTGGCACTCGAATTTCCATCAGCCAAATTTGCTTTGAAAGTGAGTATTTAAGTTCATCGCTTACGGTAATAGCAATGAGTTTTTTATCATCTTTCTTTAGAGAGAGTGTGGCGTCGCTTGGTGGATGATCTGCGACCGACTGTTGACCCAATTCTTTTGGGGGATACTGCCTTGGAACGAAATTATACACTTTTTTGCCGTTTGCATTATGCACCCACCAGATTTTATTCTGTATTATTGCGTATCGTTACTTAACCACTGCGAAGCTGATGTGATAAAAAGCATTACGGAAGGAAAAATGTGGCCTGAAGAAATGGTAGTAAACATCGATAATCAACAATTCTGTCTAAATTCTAAGAAATATTGTTTTTTTTCTCTGCATACAGGTTCTGGAGGATTACAGGTGCCACAGTCAGATAGGATTTATGGATCGCTTGAGTAAACGACACGGCGGCAAAGTTCTTCCATCTCTGACTCAGAGAAAATTTAATTTTCCAGAGGGTATTGAGTCCAAAGAGCGAGGAGACGTTTAGTGGCATGGTCAAGAGCTAAAGAATTTGGAATGAATATAACAATTTGTTAATCTTTTTATGTAAACTGAGCTCTGGCTCAACCTATTTTTTGTACAGATTTACGAATTAATTAAAAAACAAACAATTTCCCATCCAACAACGTGTAAAAATTGATTCTTGATGCAAACAATTATGTAATTATGTTCAACGTATTTGCAAAAGAAACTCGCGCACATCGATATCGATTAATATACAAAATATCGAGATTAAGTTAATTGCTATACTCATACATAATTTCATAAACTCTAGCTAATATTAAAAACAATAATCATATCAGTCGTAAAAAAACAATTTCATTTCCTTTTTCTTTCGTTTCACTATTCAACTATTATCTTTTTATTCATAACTTACTAAGATTCGTAAGCACCGAATTTAGTAGATATAATAAATGCCTACATACTTGGTACTTTCGAAATATTGAAGCGTCTTGAATTTTCACACAAGAGTTCAATGTTTGTCGGAATGAAAATCAAGAAATCAAAACGGCGCTACACATTTAGCAATTACCTCATTCAGCTTGATCAAAAGTGCTTAAAAAACATCTACACAAGTCGCGTATATACAATGATCTACACTCGTACAAACTTTAAAGTTTTAATCTTCGTGAATTTCAAACAGCTTGGCTACTTCGTTTATTTCGTCGTAAGTAGTTCCCCGGGCGAGAATCTAAAAACAAAAAATAATATTTAATAAATCAGTCCATTCATTTATTTTGAAATTCTATTTCAAGATACTCACCTGTCTAGCAACTGACATACGATTGAAAATATTCCATAGGACGATACCAACGACAATTTTATCGCGCACATAAAAAATAACACCTTTAGCGTAGTCGTCCACTGCTTCATCAGGTACTACTTTCTTTTCAGAATTTTCACTTGATTTATTACTGATCAAATTAGCTTCTGGATTATCTGAAGTCGATTTTTTTTCTTCTGGTTCAAGTTTAGGGTCCGATACATCTTCCCCTTCTAGTTTCTGCGATTAAACAAGTATATAATAATTACTACCAAAAAAATTGGAGTATTATGAGAATTATTTCGAAATTTTACCTTTCCACTACTGGCTTGACCATCTTCAACCGCTTTTTTGTCCGATTCGTTTTCAGAAGATTTTGCAAAGACACCAACAGTTTCTAGCGAAGAATTTATTATTCCAATTGCTTCGAATCCAACCTCCGGGCCCAAATCCGACCAGAACATAGATTGATGTGTGTAGGGTTTGTGCGATCCTGTCATATTTTCTCCTGCTAATCTTCCAGAGATCACGGCGTGATCGTGATGCTCGATTCTTCTTCTTCCCAGTTGTACATCGTAAAAGCATGCAACATCGCCTGCAACCCATACATTACTTCGCGCTTCCAGTTCTGCATTCACCAAAAAGCCATCTTGTACTGGATCTGTCTCTAAATTTGATGATTTTGCTAATTCCGTATTTGCTTTTACCCCCACCGCGACTACGACTTGATCAGCTAATATCTGTCATAATAAAAAATGGGGCTAATCACTAAATTTATTATTTAATGAATAAAAGTTACTGGTAAATCTTACAGTTTTGCCATTGTTAAGTGTAAGCTCTAATCTGTCGTTTTTCAACCTGCAATCGTGCACTTCTACATTAGGCACGCAATTAACGCCTTCCTTTTGCGAATGTTTAGTCGTCCATTCACTCAAATATTCAGGTAAAACTTGTGCCAGTATATTTTTTTCTTTATAAAGCTGGTATACTTGTTGACCCTCAAACATACCTATTGAATACAGTTAAATAATAATTAATATAAGATATCAATAACCAGATTAATTTTATAAAAACTGACTAACGATTTCTTGCTAGTGATGTCGATAGTTCTGAGCCTAAGAAACCCCCACCAACAATAACTATATTCTTGCAACTGGGCTTTTTGATATTACGCACCAGTTCAAGGTAGTCTTCTTTTGTTCTAAAAACAATAATTTTTTCTTTTGCTTTTTCTTCAGCTTTTTCAAAAGGAATAATATTTTTGGGAGATGCACCTAAAAATAAAATTGATAAAATTATGTATTAACATAAATAAGCCCTCGAAGAAAAGTAGACAAGTCATAAATACCAGTTGCAATGAGGCATTTATCGAATTTTATAGGATGATTATCTTGTAAGTAGACAGTTTTGTTCGGGACATCAATTTTTTTAACTGTCCACCCAGTAGCAACAGAAACTCCTCCTTTTTCAGAATTTTCCAATTCTCCAATAGGTAGATAAAATTCTGGAGGTTCATAAAATAAACTCCGTTTGGTTCCATTCCATTGCTTAAAAATTAATTTAGATGCTAGTTCTTCGTCTCTATTATACCAAAGTTCTTTTGATAAAGGTGGCCTCATGTATGGTAAGTCTCCTTCATTAGTAATAACAAGAACCTACAATTTTTGTTCATTATTTTCAATCCTAATGAAATACTACAAAGAATGTATTTTCAAACCTTAGCAGTAGGATCACCAGCTTTAATTGCTCGAAAAGCAGAAAATGCAGCTGTTCCTCCTCCTATCAACAAGTAAGGTACTTCTTTTGGAAAAGCATCTGATTCCTCAGGTCTGGGGACAATTGGTTGTCTTCCAAGATCTTTAACAACTTCTACAAAAAGGAATTGTTATTATTTAAAGATAAAAAAATTCAAGCTCATACTTAGCGTCACTTACTTTTACTTTTTTCATCTTTTTCAAATAATTCGATGTACTAAAAAATATTTTATAACATAAATAAAAGTTTATTATTTTACAAACTTATTGATAATAAACTCACAGCAACTGTAGACACACCAGCTACAACAAGAGCTGCAACTATTTGCTTCCAGTAATTGAATACTGATTCACCACTCGAGCCATCTCCACCTGAACTACTTTTATGACACTGTTCACGAATATCTGGTGGACAATTTGGAGGACAAGAATAAGTTGGTTCTTCGCAAGAAGGTCTAAAACGAGATTCTGGTGGCTTTAGTTCCTGTCCTGCAGGAGCAGTAGAGTGAATGGGAGGTGGTGGTGGAGGTTGAGGCAACGGTGGAACTCTTTTGTTTGATTTTGTTTTTGGTGGTAGGCATTCTTCAACTTTAGCTGTTGTACCAGCTGCTCTAGGTTTTTTATTTTTTGTGCTATACCTCAGATGATTTGTTGTTGTGTCTATGAAAAATGTACATAACAATCAAAAAGTGGAACAAGTGAATTAATTTATGGATTTAAAAAATAAACAAAAATAATTGTATTTACTGTCAAAACTTAAAAAAAAAACTGTAAATTTTATTTCCTCATCAATATTAAAGTTTGAAAATGGATTAAATTTTAATTTTTGAACTTTTGCATAAGTAACTTCATATTATAACGCAGTATATTGAGTTTATCCAGGTTATGTTATGAGTCACAACTTTGACAAACAACTCAGATCTTTTACACATGTATTCAGGAATTGTTCATTAATCGTACTAATGTCAAATCAGAATTATGGTCTTAAAATTTGCCGGAAAAACAAGCAAGTAAGCAAGGCCATTTTTATGCAGCACGAGAGACCGGCTACTCGAACTGTGTGCAACACTCGCGCATATTCAAAATTCAAGGCGTAAGCAAAGTACCTAAACAATTTGCGAATCTGTCGTGAAGGCCATGCCTGGTGATCCTGGTCAGTTGGCCGACTATGCGGCTGCAGTTGAGCATGATGTTGTCTCGTTGCAGACGTCGTGATTTATCTGGCTGGTAAGTGGTAACCTGTCTTATGCAATATGGTGGTCGACGCCGTACTAGGGGCTACGCGTGCTACCGAGCACGTCGTCGCAGCCGCTGTAGCCTTTGTCACTACTACTACTACTACTGTAACTGCTGCTGCAGCTGGCGATGATCGGCGCGCCGCAGACGGTTTTGTTTTCATTATTTTTGTTCGGCTGCCAGCACGAACGTCCGGACGTTAGGTGCATGAGAGATAGCAGCTATCCAGACGACGCGACGATGACTCCGTGTCATATTTGCAATAAAACAACTCCGATGCCAATCTTACTTAACAACGAGCAAACGAGGATTATTTGTTGGAATAATTCGATCGGTTAGCAATTAATGAATTGTTTGATCGAGCGACGCTTAGATTTGTTGTTTTTATCACGTTTAATGATTAATGACGAATTTTTATATTTCTCTACGCGATGCGACTATGAATGCGAAGTTGTTGAAACAATTTTATGTGACGATTTTTTTGAGGATTTTTTTTTATTCGGATGATGATTTGTTGATCTTCGAGGTTAATTCGCAATTTTAGCTCAGGATTGACAGTTTACAGCTTACACTACCGTCAATTATCGAAAGTTAGTATAGATCATAAGGATTTTATATAATGTAATCTCGTATTAATTATTTCCGATTTTCGACTATGTAATCACACTTGAAGTCGTGTTTATTTTCAAAAGTATAAGATAATGAATTTTTCAATGATAATTAAGAAAAAAATTATTTTTTATGATTTTCAAACTCATTTGTTCACGGGGCGAGTTTTCCTTAAAATTTGAAATATTTTTCCCAAACAAAGATAAACATTTCAATATTGTTTTGATTATCATAAGAACCGCGTCTCACAAATTTTCAATAATTTGAATACCGCGCTAATCCGTGAGTGACTAAATTTTACCAAGTTATCGGTGTTTTGCAAGATATTGAACGCATCGCTTAGCAAATTTCTATGCGTACTTTTTACATTTTCAACTAGCTACTACTCAAGGCGCTTTGTGCACCTCAACTACTTTTTTTTAATTCCACAAAATGCTTTTTTTTATAGTTCACTTATATCAATTCGTTGCAAAACTAAAAAAACCTACCAACACTTACAATTCTTCAAATTTTTATTTTTCGCTTTCGTTTAATAAAAACTTTAACACGAATAACTCTTGCAGTATGAGCAATGTAGTTTCAGGCAATTTCGTCATTAATTCATATTTTTGATGAGTGCTGTAAATAACTTCGGTTTCGATGAGATGCCGCAGTTAATGACTACACAATTTGAGATCCTTTATCAATAAAAAAATCGAAATGAATTTTAAATTTCTTCTTTCAAACTTATCAATTTATAATTTTTTCATTTATTGTAGTTTAATGAAAAGTCTAAAAAATATAATGATAGAGAAAAAAATACTACAAATATGCTTAATATCGTCATCACGAGCTTTGAGCTGTAAAAGCCAAGCAAGTAAAGGCATAAATCTTCGTTCGCGAGGTCCTCCATAAGCTTCGTAATGAAGTGACTTTGGCATCCACCTGGAAAAGATAAGAAAAATGTAATGAATGCTCGGTAGAAAATCAGCAATGGCCCATGATAACAAGTATAATCACTGCATCCAAATGTGAAGGAACTAGACATCAAATCAAACGTTGATATCGTCTATGGAGTGACTTCAGTCGAAGACTTTATTGTTTGCTGAACGCTCCTTGGCACGTCACTATCGAATCAATCCAAAAAGAGCTGAATATTCCACCTATCGCGGCTTCGCCTCGGCGCCATTATCACGTGCATGCGGAAGTTTCATTTCTCCCCCTTGTAAGAAAATCTACTATATTAAGATGTGTCGTTTTATTCTATTACTAATAAATCTTTGAAAAAACAGTTTTTCTTTTTAATTTGGAGGAGAGAGGTCCCCGTAATAAAAACATAATTTAAAATAAAATTTTTTAAATGAAAAAAGTCTATAAATGATGAAGATGAATCTCATAAGTGTCTAAACACTCAGAGGGTTACCTTTTGATTTTCTGAGTTCGAAAGTTCGATTACTATCAATGAAATGGTAATAGGGGTTTTTTCTTTCATTGAAATGTAACTGCAGCAAAAGGGGAGACTTTCATGCTCATATAATTAATTTTCGATGCATAAAATGATATAAATAAGTTTATATTCTCAAGAACATTGTACACGATTTTATTTTCAAAGAATTTTACAAATGTAACTGTACAGAAATTATAGTTAAACTATAATTTTATGTATACATTAGATTGATGATATTTTCTAATTACAATTTTGAGACTGTTTTTAAATAATATCTGTTGCTAAATAATTTGGTACATTTGTACTCGATAAGAATTAAAATTAGGAAAATACAAAAGTATGGAATTTAATCGAAAACGAGACATTTTTTTAATTTTCACAGTAAATCGTTTTATGATTCTATTATTTTTTTCGTCAATATTTAAAATTATTATTGATATTAAAGGTTAAAACGCGGTTTCAAATTCCTTGAAAAGAAACAGTCACAAAATTGTAATGGACACTTATATCAGTTTGACTCTAACTTGAACTTTTTTTCAAACTATTTCACTGCATTATGAATTTGATTTTTATTTTTATCTTAATCTGCCGCAAGGATCAAATATTTTTACTCTTTATTTTGATAAATTAATAATTTTTAACAATGTTTAAGAGCTTTTAATAAGTTCTTTATAAGAATTGATTCGTCTTGACATTTGTTAGAAATAAATTTGATATCACGATCACTTGAGGTATTTGATATTTTGGAGTATTTTGCAATCCACATAATCTAAGGCTTATCATTTTTAAAGTGCTCAAAGACATTTGAACTTATGAAATGACCTTAGAGTAATTTTAAAACTTTTCATAAAAATGTTTCGATGCTATATTTTAGTCTTGCTAAACCATCTTTAGGCATGAGGAGTTATTACTTTATAGCAGTAAAAGTAGGAATAGTTTTGAATTTGTAAACAGTTTTTAATTTATCTACATTACATTCCTATAATTTTTTTGATTAAAAAATTATCAGATCATTCGAGTAAACATTTCATCACATATTACACATTATTAGAACTACGTTTAACATACATACAGAAATAAATTATCTATTAATCCCATCGTTGTATTAAAACAAATATCGAAGAAAATTCATATTTTATTAATTATACTTCGGCACAATCTTACAAAATTTCTTTCACAGCCTTACAGTACAGAAAGGTCTTTTTTTGAAATTCTCTCGTAATGCAATCTTTGACTCGCCTCAATGTTAGCTTATTGAGTATATTAACATATTAAAATCAAAAATGTCCAACACATGAATAAAATGAAGCGTCGATCTGAGAGATTCTTTATTATTGTGTCGCAAAGTTAAAAAAAATATATATATATACACGTAACCAAGCGAATTAGAAAGACGCGCAGTAACGAAAGAAAAAAAGTAATGTACAAATTCAACGATTCTAAAAGAAAAGGTCGACGCGCGATAATTTGCATTTTTCGAACAATCGAGCGAATTCGACATTGCGTTGAGAACAGCAACTGCGCAACGATGTGCTACTCAGTCAGCGAAACTCGGAACTGGTTTTGCGGAGCTCTGTAACTCGAGCGCCGTAATAACTTACAAGTGTATATATAATATACAATCACATGGTTGGGCTCGCGTACGCGTGTAGCCAAAAGCCGGCCTGCGCGTGTGTGTGCCATGAGTCGCCGCGAGCGCTTGGCTGCATTTGGCACGATTTCAATCGGATAGGTCTGACAAGCGGCACGCGTGCGGCAGCATCCGATTGTCAAAGACACTGATCGTACGCGTCCGTACGTAGATGCGATGCGTACACAAAATAGACGCGAAGAGCAGAGCCGGTATCCATTCACAATAGCGTATCAAAATGTTCGCCTAGTTCTATATTATGTATAATAATCGTAGAGATTCGGCAACAATCAGCAGCCTCGCTTATCTATAATACAATGTCTGTTTGTGTGTATATGCAGATATGGAGTGCTCGTGTGCGTTGCAACGATAACAGTCGATATACGTCGAGATGAGAGCTTCGCTCAGCGTCCCTCGCTCCGTATATATATATATCTATATATATTAAATATTATATCGTAGGTAATGGAAGTCGGGCCGTCGGTGCTGTATAAATTGATTTAGGAGACGAGGCCGGAGGCGCGTTAAACCGAGAGCGCGAGACCCAGCCGAGCCAGTACCATTTCCTTTCGCAGCCGCGTAATTTCCCAGTAGATGTCGTGAACTGAAATCATAATAATACGTGAGCCGCGAATCGCATTTACGATGAACGAAAATGCAATCGATTTGATAAACAGATGGCACCGATCGAATGCCATCCCCGTGCCTATGTACTCACTCGAACTTTTGACGAGGCCACGCTCGATGTAGCGCAGGTAATTCAAAAAATCGCACACCGCTATTATCTGCGAACGATGAAAACAAAAACGGGTTAGCTTGGCTGAATTTCGTAAAGCCAATGGGATAAAAAATTGTAACATTGTACTCACTCTATTGCGACAGATTTGTGATATACTGTGCCATTGATTCTCCTGATCTCCCATTCGCATCCGATAATGACACTGTCTCGGTGCTTCTAATAAGGCGCATTTTCTGCAAGAAAAAGTGATCGAGGGTATGTATCAAGTTGGCGAGACATTAATTAACTTTTGCTACTTTTCAAGAAAAAAGATACTTAGCACGAACTTAATTTATTTTGATTCTTTTACTCTTACTTTTATTTTAGTTTGTTCGTAAACGTTAAAAATTATAAAAATTGATCAATAAAAATAAAAGTCGAGCGTGTGATTGGATTCTCGAACTATTCCGATGTAGCGCGTATGCATTAGCAAATACTCACTTAGGAAAGCCAAGCTTGGCCTTGTCGCTGACGGCCTCGACGAAAATGATGCCGTCGAGCACGGCTTGTCTGACTTTCGTGGCCAGCTCGACGTTCGGAAAGTCGAGGCAGAGATCGATGTCCTCGCGGAAGATTCGCTCGATGAACGGATCGCTCTTGTCTACCGCGGGATTCTCCTTCCACCTGAGGAACTCGCTGTGGACGCGCGGATCGACCTCGACCCCGTATCCGCTCTCCTTTTCGCCTCGTTCTCTGCAAACGAGGATCGAGCCAAAAGTGTCATCTATCGAAACGGAATCGGAAGACCGCGTCCGCGAGTTATACGCGGCCGGATACTCACCGGTCTCTCTTGTGATCGCGCTCCCGCTCCTTGTCGCGCTCCTTGTCGAGGTCCCTCGTCTCCTGGGCGAAGAACTCGTCCTTGGAACCGGTCCTGGCCGGTTGGTCGGCGGCCGGCAGCGTGGTCCTCTGCTCGCGCATCGGCGAGTCCGGCGGCGAGCTCTCGCGGCCGTACTTGAGATTGAAGTGCGACGGGGAGCGCCGGTGCTTCTTGGCGAATATGCCGCTCTGGTGGCCGTGATGGTGGTGGCAGTCGTCGCAGCAGCCGCCGCCGCCGCCGCCGCTCGACGCGCCCCCGGCTATCTGGGGATGCAGGTGCGGATTCGGCCGGGCGGGCGTCGACGTCAGCACGAGGGTCTTGAGGGCCGCGACCTCGGCGGCCAGCACCTCGGACTTCATGCGACTCTCCTCGAGCAGGCGCTCGGCCGTGGCCTGGCGCTGATTCGCCTCGCGCACCATGTTGTGCGCCTCCTGCGGACCATGTTTATCCAATTAGAGCCTGTCGGCTCGTCCCTAGGCGAGCTTTCGCGAGCTTTTGCCCGAACTAACTCGATCGAGCTCGCAACGGGCTCGTTTTCATCGCGATCGTGCTCGGTTCGATCGTGCGTGATGTAACTATACTAACTTGAAAAAGACTCGCCGTGAGCTCTTCGAGCTCGGCCTCGACGTCCTGCCTGATGCGCGACAACCTCGACACCTCCTCGTCTTTGAGCTGGAGCTGCTCGTGGGCGCGTCTCAGCTCCTCCTGCAGTTTCAGCAGCTTCGCCTCTTGCGCGTTCAGAGCCGAGTTCGTTCGCTCCCTCTCGCTCGCTGCATCGTCGGACTCTTTCTCTCCTTCTTTATCCGCGATGCCATTGCTCAAGGGCAGCTGCTGCTCGTCCCCGTTGCTCGAGGATCCTTCGCTTAGCTCGATCTGAAAAATTCGAATCGATTACGCATACGCTGACGTACGATCGATGATCGACGAGCTGCTTATTTTCCAAGCGTCGTTGGCAGAAGTCGCGCGCGAATGGGCACGTCCCCCCGTGAAAAATTTTGTAACGCGGCTTTTCGAACTTTCCCGTTTTCAAAGCTCACTGAAACGCACGTGTCATATGAAGTATGATATTTACGTAAAAATGTGCCTTGTAATTGATATGGAAATTCTCGAGATATCGTGGAGCCGCGCTGCAACGTCGACTAGATACGTCATTCGAAATAGTTTCGCGAATAAAATTTATAGCGGTACATTTAGGTATGTACATATGCGCACTCGGCTCGGCTCGAGATATATTTTACTCGCTTGTCGAGTATGAGTATACGAGACATAACGAAATTTTAGGCACGTAAAAAATGTTCCTCTCGAACGAGCCCCGAGTCTTGCTGCGCGGACGATTCAAATATATATATGTAAAACGTGTAAAACAACGACGAGATAGCAAGCGAAGTCAAAAAAAAATCAATGCTCGTTTTGTGTGAGCCTCGCGCTTGCATCGCACGCGCAAGCGTGAAATTAATTAAATTTCATACATATATAAAAGAATGCGCGCAAATGTTTGGTAGCGAGAAGAGAAAAATAAAAAATTACGGGATAAAATTTCATATTAATTAATAACGTGGCCTGCCTCGACTCGATCAGCCGAGTGGATTAATCGCCGTACTACACATTTATATCGCTGCGAGCCGCGCAGGCCAACAAATCACGCAGGAGCAGTGGCTTTTCCCGAGCTTTAAAAGCTTTGTTCGTGACGTATTGCTCTCCTTTTTACCTTGGCGCATTTCAAATGTACTGTTATATATAAAGCGCTCTATGGGATCGTGAGCCTCTGCAGCCCGGTATGTACACTGATTTAGAGCCGTCGCCATTTCAATAGAACCAACTTTTCGTCATTTATACCTCTCTTCGATCGTATTTTTTTTTCTTTTTTATATACACAGCGACAAGGGTGAGAGAGCTTTACCGTGTTTAATCGGAAACTTTTTGCCATAGGTATCGAAAGTTGGATGCGAATTTGATGCCGGTGCGAGAATGATTTGTACACGAAGCCACGGGAGCATCGGATAAAAGGAAAAAAATTCCTTCCGTATATAGAAAAATGTACCGTCCGAGTGTGCATATGAGCTCGTTGGAGCCTCGATCGTTGCGCAATACATCATCGTATAAATATTAACTGCTCGACCCGACGACGTAATGTTTATGTAATTGAACAACAACAACGAGAAATTTGACACGTACGGCACGTGCGTGTACGTGTATACCTACTTTTATGTCTGTGCCCCTTCATCGAACGAGGTGAATGCTCGCTACGATAGTTAACGGCCGTAAACATTTTTAATTAGATACAAAGAAATACTTATATTTGTAAAAAGTGCGCAGCTCGTAGGTTCGAACAAACCTCTGAACGAATTTCGACGCGCTATGCGTGGTACACGATACGGCGATCGTGACCTTTTCTCAAAGCCCCTTCTAAAACTTTCTTTTTCATCGTTCAGTAATGTATATCAACTGATTCAGTATGGAATAATCGATACGTACGAGTTTCTCTTTTTTCTCTCGACTCGAATATCAATAAATGTGTCTCACTTACACATCGATAAATACGAATCGGCGATGTTGACGTATTTAAGTAAACAACGATAGCTTCCATACAGCTATTAAAGATCGCGAGCGAGCTCGTAACGATCGACGCACATACGCGCCAAAAGAGTATAGGATTTACTCACGTCGAGGGGCTTTGCATCGTCTTGGCCAGCGGTCGAGGAGTCGCGCAGAGTTTCACCGTTGCACTCGGCCGGCGATTTCTCCTCTGGCAATCGTCGATCCAGTGGTTGCTGCGACTTGGCCGGTGCAGCAGCCGTGTCTCTGCCGCACTCCTTGTCCGAGCCGGCCGAGGCTCGTCTACGCGCCAACACTCCTCGCGGCAACGAGCCGTTGTTGTAGCTCAAGATCGACATGGACTTGGTTGAGCTGCGAATTACGACACTCGACATATCAGCACAGGCGCTTTCGACGAATATGTTTCTATAGGTTTGATAATGCGTAAAACGTACCTCTGCCTGCAAAGCTTGGAGTCGTCCTCGTCGAAGAGGCCGGTGGGCTCGTTCTTGCTCTCGTCCTCCTCGTTGTCGTAGCCGAAGAGGTCCGTGGCGGCGCGGGCCAGGTCGCTCTTGACCAGTATCGTGTGCGACTGGTGGTGGTGGTGGTGGTGGAGCGAGCCCAAGCCGGCCCCCAAGCCGGCGCAGCAGTCGGCCTCGTCGGCGTACATGTCGTCCTCGTCGGTGGTGTACTCCTCGTCGCCGGTGGTGCCCGTGCTGCCGGCTCTGCGGTGCTTCGTCGTCAGCGGCCTGTAGGCGTACTCGCTCTGCGCGATCATGGTCGCGCCGGCCGCCGAGCCGTCGCTCGACTCCATCGAACTCGGCTGCTGCTGCTCCTGCAGTTGCACCGACTTCATCACAACGACCGCTCGCGCCGACTCCTTGCTCTTGCGCGAGGCCTAATCGCTGCACCTGCGACAAAAACCAAAGCCATTCGTTCGTTACTATATTTATTTAATCGAATTCGACTTCTATTTACAACATCAATGTCATATTCATCGATCCACTCGTACAATATTTAGAGTTAAGAGGGATTCGAATAAACTTATATTAGTTTCCAATCGAATTACTGTTCATCAATAATCATGGAATTTATCTTTGACATGTGTAGCTCATCATCCACTAATTATAACGAAAATGCAATTGAAATTTAAACATGAATTTCCTTATTCAGTTTCCCAAGTAATTTCGTGTTATAGGATCCATTAGAGTTGTGTCTAGAGTTGTGTCTAGAATATTGGTTAATGTAATTTTTTTCTCTTGGGCAATAAATTAAACTTATAAAAAAAAAATCGTCAAACCACAGTAAAAGAAATTGTCCATTACACGAAGAAAATTGCGTCTCATATGGCCTATTTGAAATACGAAACGCTGTTTTCTCAGAAAATTTTGTCGAGCACAAGGATTAAGTCTATATTAAAACGCTATCAATGCAAATAACATATTTCTAATCGATACATTGGTGCATATTAATTTGATTTTTCTAGCTTAACTTCATCGTAATAACTTATAATTTAACTGTTGCCTAATTCATCGGTATAAAAGTTCATCGTTAAAAAGTTGAGATTAAAAACAAAAGTTGCGGTAATGTTCGATCGAACTATGTACTTTGCACAGCAGCCCAAACGGCGCAAAACTAATTTACGAGTAAACCTGGTATAAGTGCCGCTATGCAAATTACGCACGTGTATCAAAATGTTTGCAGATAAATGAATCGTAAATAACGTTCCGCGCGATCCATTAATTTAATTTTATCAACGATCTTCATTGTTTCAAAAAGCCGGGCTACATCCTTCTCGGTGCTTTGCGGTAATTTCTCAACTTTTCGGAGAGCGTAATTCGCGCGCATAACGCGTGCCATTAATGCCGAGCACTGCAGGTACATACATACATAGGTGCGTAAAGCCCGAGCCAGGAAAGTAAGTAGCAATCGTATTTCACGGTCCTCGCGGTAATTTTCGGATTATTAAATTTTGGCGCGCCACGTGTTACCTCCAATTCCAGGCAGGCAGCAGCAGGTTCTTTGTGCGATTTGTCTCTCCCTCTCTAGCGCTATAGAGCTCGGGTAAAAGTTATAACTTGGCTTTATTACGTTGCAAACAATTTTTTGGCACAAGGCACGTGAACTGATTCCGCTGTATCACGCTGCATCGTGAGACACCGAGCATCGTTCTTTAACTGCGACGTCTTTGGCGCGTTTCAAAAGGACACCGAATCAGAGACAGACAAATCAATGAGTCGAGAAACTTTTATAAGTCGAAAAGATCGCTCACAAAAGATTTTTTCTCCTTTTGACCGATGACATTGCATATATTATAGTTAAATGGACACAACGAACGATATCGTGCGCCATAAATTACGGTACAACGCAGTAAACAAAAAAAAAAAAAAACAAAACAAAGCAGGCCGAGGGGAAATCCATAAGCACGACAACGCGAGCACGAGTCACTGTGCTCACAAAACAAAAAAGTGAGAGAAAAAAAGGAAAAATGTCGCAATAAATCGTTTCTGATCGCTCGCGGGCCCACAGGTGCCGCATGCAACGCTATAGGCCTCCGTGAATGTTATTGCAATTAGTCATCTATAACGGCGCTTTGCGTATGACACACGTATATTGACGAATCTGTCATCGCTGGCTGTGATAATGAACGTACACACGCGGGCACAGTCGAGAGCAGAACTATTCAACAGAATCAAAAACAAGAGAAGAAAAAGAGGACAACTTTTTCGAGCACGCAACTATATTCTCACGATAGTTTCCTATATATGTGTAATGCTACGTTATATTATTGTATGGTGTATACTTATTGAAGGCGGCGCGGGTCAAAGCTCCATATAGGCAGGCGAAACCTGCGCGGAATCGTGTGCTTTCCCGCGTGCGATGCGAGTGCGCGAGGCGAGTTTCTTTGGGCACAGACGCGGCGTTTGTGTTGCGCAACGGTTACGCGCCTCTCGAGCGAACGACGCATTTTTGCTCCGTAAGCCGCGTACGAACTACGAGGAAAATGAACAGAATGAACAACGCGTAGCTTTGCTACTGTAACAGGAGCGATGACTTTATTTTCGACTCGAAATTCACACCTATAAAGTAAAAAGGCGACGTTAAAAATATAACGTAAGCAGTAGAGCTAGTCGAGTCCCTATAGAGCAGGTGTATACAGTGATACGAGAGATAAATTTTTCTCTAAAGCAATACAATCCAAAGAGATGCCAACAGAAGCCAGACTTTCTCCAGCGCAATTTGGCTAATTAAAAAAGCACAATCTCGAGCACTACAACAGGGTAATTTATTCGCCGGCGAATGAAAAAGTGGCGCGCGTACAAAGGAAGCTTTTGAAATTCGCCCGCCATGCGCTCGTATACATAAGATGAGACGCACCGAGGAATCTCGAAGGTGCGCGATTGCAAAACACAAGTGTACGTATATATACCGCTAATCAAGATCACACGCCCGACTATAAAATTGTTTCTCCCTCTTAGCCGCGCGGCTGGCTGCGTTCACCTTTATATTATGAAATGTGTATTATATGCTGTCGAGCTTTTTTCCAATGCGGCACGTACACAGCCGTACGCGCGCGCGCGAGAATACGCGCATCGCGTGAAAGTTCGATATTATATTATGGTCGATAGAGCAGTACGCGATTCGATTACGATATATACCGCATGGAAAAAAAATGCAAAGTATGCACGCTGACAAGCAGCACGTGCTAGGTTCAATAGGCGCTGTAGCTGCAGTCGAGCGCCGAGAGAGAGAGAGAAAGAGAGAGTTTTGCGCAAGCGGGCCCGGCAGATGAAATGCCTGAAACAATGGGGATGTGTGCCTCCAAACGTGCAGCAGCAGTGGCACACGCGGTTCTTAATCATAGCAGTTGTAAGAAGCTCAACAGTCGCTTCCAACTATAATTCATATCATCTGTTGAGCTCTCTCTCGCGAGCAGCCAACCGTTCCTCCTCCTTTTGCAGCTACGATATATTGTATTGTGTGTCTCTTGGCGCTGCAGCTCGCGAGCTTTTCAGCGTATTACATACAGTTTGTGTGTGTGTACTGTGTGTGCGAGTGTAGGTACGCGCATTTTAATATCTCAAAACTTTCGCCTCGCGAGATGCGTGCCATTTTCAACGAGGGGCACTATACTCGTTTTGAATATGTGCGAGTTTGTGCATAATGTGAGTCTGTATAAATCGCGAAAGAGACAGTTTTCTTTATAAAAACGACTTTCCATGCCACGTCGTTGCGCCGCTTCTGCTGCCGAGCGAGAAAGCCGTGCGCTCGAGAAAAGATGTGTAACGCGACGAGGAAGCTTTTAACACACTTTTCGTACACTTCTCGCGGAGTGATGAATGTATCCCATCATTTCCATTGTAAGCCAGCGAGGCTAGGAGCGATGCGCGATGAGCGTTTATTTTCCAAATTGTACTTGGAAAAGAGTTTGAAAAAAGATTTTGCAGCGACGTTCGTGTACGTTGCATAAAATCACACAAATACTCGTTAGCAATAATATTATAGATGCGATTTCGGAGTGATTCAAACGGAACCGTGAAAGTAGCATTATTTGCTCATAATTTCATCGCAATGGCCAATCTACTGGAATGTTCAATTTACTTCCATTCACAAATAGATAATTACATATAGTTGAGAAGATGCGCATTAGAGTCCAAGCTTTTTTCTTTCATCTCATAAAAAATTTCTTGGCGCAGCATCATCAAGAGCCGAGCAAATGATCAAACCATTAGACCATCGGAGAGCGCATTAAATGACAATATGCTTTTCTCGGCGAGCAAATTTTCTAAAATTAAATCTCTCCTCGTCGGCCGCTACTAATGACATGTAAAATTTTCACATTCGCGCAAAGTTCCTCCCTTTTCGGATTCCCAAATGTACAATAACACGAGTAGCAGTAGACCATTACGTCGGAGAAAAAGAAGCGAGTGGAATCTGCCAGTCGTTAACAATACTTTGCCGTAATGTCTTTTCTCTCTCACTCTCTCTATTTCTTTTGCGCGAGGCGAGTTCTCTCTTTTACCTAATATTATTTCGCCTCATTAAAGAAAGCTCTTTGGCCTATCTTGTAAATTGCGCCGACTCTATATACTACGAGGGGTCGAGCTTCGACTGTTTCCTTGTATCATTATTGCGTTTCTCTCATTTTACCCCGGCATCTTTTCTGTATAAAAAGTTTTATGACTCGGATATAGATGGGCTCCTAATGAAGCCACCGAGTTTTCATGTACGAATATAGGGGTTACAGGTCTAACAAAAAAAAAGTTTCATAAAAAGAGTAAACAGATGGGACTTTTTTTATCAGTTGCGTCGAGCATTTTTTACAGCGTTCACTATATATACGGAACGAAACTACGGTGGATTTTTTTTCGCCACGGTATTGTTTGGCAAGTTGAAAACCAATACTTCAATTAGTGGCTCGAGTTGCTGCTTACGTTTTGGTTCGAAAACTTGTGCAAAACAAGCTGTAAACACGTAATGTTTACGATGATACTGGCAAGAAATTAAGATAAAGGTCGTCCGCAGTTGAATAAAAGTTTAGTAAGTGTATTTTCCATTCAACGTTGTGAGTAATTTTCATAAATATGCATGACAAACGTCGAACACATCACGAGCATACTCGTGATATGTATTGGATCAATTAACACGTCGGTTCGTTCAACGTCGTGGCGTTTTATGGCGTCTTTTACCGTAAAGCCGCGTATATATACAGATACCGGTTATCGAATCGAAAGAAAGAAAAAAAAACTAGCCGGCAGTCTATTCACGAGAGTTTCGCAATGGATAACTCGTCGAGAGTCGCCCCGTATACATTTTCCGTACGGCAACTTTGAAACTCGTCTCTCGTAACGCACGTGTAAAATCGTTACGACTCGTGTGTGAGTTTTTGTGCGTTGTATCGTCGCTGCTT